AACCACCCGGCTCCCTGCTCACCTATATAAATCAAAGTGGTCAATAGTAATATGTGCGACACCTGCAATGAGATCGCAGATCTCGAGCATATGTTCTTTAATTGCTCCAAATTCAGACAACAATCTGCTAAACTTAAAAGCAATCTATTCCAACTAAATGTCTCGCAGCCTTATAATATGATGCACCTGCTAGCTACAAATGATAAACATATATTTGATCAACTAATTAGCTTCATTTGTGAGACTGGCATACAATTGTAAAACAAGACAAACCTCTTAACATCACAATAACGGCATAACCTAAAGCGTTGCTGTTAGCTCATTTTTAGGTCTTAGCTGCCGATCCTTTGTTGAACACCTTTATTATTACCTTACCGTGGTCCTCCTCTGTGTAAAGTCGCCTTGATAGACCCCTTGGCGTGAAACATGTCCTTACCCTTTGTCTTCTTTTCGTCTTCTGTTTTTTCTATGGAGAGGTTAGGTTAACAACAAACAATTAAGAATTGTTAGGATTCAATTATGATAATTTATTCAAAATAAACCGTTTTTTTAACATTCATTGACACCTTTTGATGAGGTAGTGCCAGTCTTAATTATATATAGAATTACTTGTACATCTGAACACTGGACATTTTACCAACCTAGTTTCTGGCTGCATGGCTTGGTCCTAAAGCCAAAAAAAAAAAAAAAAAAAAAAAATCCTCGAGTCCACGAATTAAATCACAAGCATTTTCAATGCGCTGTTGAAGTTTATTACTTAGTTAGTTTAAGAGTATTTACTCTGCTCCATCATGACACCAACTCTTTCAATTACCCCCATCCATCTAATCGAAAACTCATTATTTAGATGTTCATGAACTTCTCGTCTAAAATGTGGTGGAGCCCCATCATGTAGGAACCACATACTCTGTCTCACATTTAAAAGAACATCTTCTCATGATTGTGGCAGATTGTGTCGGAGAAAATATGTAAGTAAATTTCACCGGTCAGTCGAGGTGGAAAAAGGTAGGGTCCAATGAACATGCCAGCCCAAACATTTAATGAAAATCTATGTTCACAATGAGTTCTTTTTACAGCACGCAGATTTTTGACATCTGCCATTTAAAGAGTGTCAAAAAAATTCAGTATCCTTAGAAAGTCCTAAACAATGCAATTTTGATGATAGGAGTTCGTAGTTAATTGTATCGAAGGCTTTAGAGAGATCAAAGTGCAATAAAAGTGTATCATGTATCGATAGAAGGGCTGCCGTCGTGCTATAGCCACCTCTAAATCCAGATTGTTGATCTAGAAGTAGACTATTGATAATTGAATAAGTATTAAATTGTGAAAACATAATATTCGCAAGTAATTTCGATAAAACAGGAAGTAAACTGATTGGTCGTAGATAACTGTAACATTTGGGGAAAGCAATTTTTGGGACAGGAATGATAAGCGATTTTTTCTGTACGTTCGGAAAATATCCAAGGAAAGAGAAGTGTTTATTATAGGTGGATAACAGGAAAACTTAATTTTATCCGAACCTGATCTATGTATTATACATCTCATATAACATCCAAAACCATAGTGTCTCATTTTCGAAATTTTTTGCTAGTGGTGTGAGAAGTAAAACTGAGTTGGAACATTTCTGCCTCGTCCCGTATAAATAGGTAACATCACTTATAATACTTCAGATTATGCAGTAAAGCAAAAGATCTGAAATAAGCTTAACGCTTTAATAGAATATCGTAATATCAACACCTGGACCTATTCCGTGATTAATGTAAATTCGATGTGTTAGCAGATTTTAGTGCAGCAATGTTGCTATCTTGGGTTTTCAACGGATTTTATTTTTCAATTCACTACCGATGCAGATTTCCATTATGAATCACTCAGCGACCAAGTGTATTAGTCCCATGAGAAAATATTTTTGCAATACTAATTGGAGAAATCGCCCCATTGAGCTTTTCACATCCGTTTATTTTTTGTAGCGAAGCAGCCGCGTGGGTGGAAACCTAAATACCAGGGTACCGCGGCTGCTATGAAGAACTCAAAGAAGCTTTGTTAATCGATTTTTCAAATGCCGAAGGTGATTATATCTGGGAAAGAGAAAGTCTGAATCGGTTAGGATGAGAGGCCGAGGTCGAGCCGGGCTGCCAGAGAGGAGCCAAGATGGATTCCTGAGGAACACCCGTGTTGAGATTGTCGACGGATATCTTAAGGCCAGAGAGGAAGTAAGCCACCCATCTCCAGAGCTTCTCTCGGGGGCCATAAGTTGGAAGTTTGTTAAGAGGACAGCTTGCCACAGCTGATCAAGAGCAACGGCATTAGCCGCACCATAAGTCTGGATTAATTTACTCCACAGTTACGTGACGTAAGCTAGGAGGTTCCCCAGCCCACCATACTACTTGTCGCTAATCAAGCCATGGCGTTCAATGTAATCCAGGAGCTCCCGATTGTAATAGGTTGGCCATTATTGCTATTTGTTAGTGAAAGGTACTTAGCTAATTAGTCAAACACATTAATTAATTAGCTAAGTTGGTCACGATGAAATTCGCTAATCACGATGCCAGTGAGTATTATCACCAGCATAGACCGGAATTCGAGAGGACTTTCCGATTATAACTTAAAGTTCATGTTATTAAGAGTTTGGTGCGGTTCGAGCTGGATAACGGAAACCGTTAATAAGACTAATATCAATTTGTCAGGTGTTTTGAGAAGAAGCTGTAAGGTAACTTACTTATTTACTACCTTACGCTCAGAAGACTTCTTAAAATCGGTGCGCACTAAGGTCAGGTTACTCGCATAGTTGATTTCACACTTAGCTATACTTAATGTTTGGAAACTGGTCACAAAAATCTTCAAAAGCTACGACCTTATCACTTTTAGCACTGTTCTAGACACTTCATTTTTAGACTGGAGATGCTCAACTGAAAGTCTGACAGGCGGTTGGGGTTAAGTGGGGTTAAGCTACATGGCTGATTTCGAGAGTTGAGTATAATCCGTTTATTAACTCTCAAGATAAGCAGATTACTTCACAAAAGAAAAAACTGATATTTTCCCTCGAATCTCGGGTTGTACCTGCTCTTCCTGAATAATCATCTTGGACCGAGAGGACAGGCAGATCAATTCAGTGCTCTCGCATTTGAAAGGGACAATTTAGGATATGTACAAATAGATCAACAAATACTCCATATTATTTGATTAGCTATTCTATCAAGCACCTACCAATTCTACAGGTGGGAGAGTCGGACAGTCTTTGACTTTAGTAGAAGCAAGCCGATGTCCGAGGAAAACCTCTTTCCGCTGTAATTTACTTGATGTTTTGAATCTCGATTCCAGTTGTTTATTCCATATTGTTACAACTCTATTCGAACATATTATGTTTAACTTCGACGAGCACCCTTTTTGTGTGTTTATGTGCTCCTATGCGGCGCTTTGCCCATTCTCAGGATAAAGTTTTTGTTGGGAGGCTGTAAACCTACTGGGTTGCAAAGGTCCGATCCACATATGTTTTGACTTCTTTTTCATTATTTAAACTACCCTCATTTTCTTATAAAATGCTCAGATGTGTCTCCATGTTACAGTCCCCCCCGGCTTAGCTATGGGCACCTTTTTGAAAACGTTAATAAGACAAATATGAGGCATATAAGTAGTGATTAATCATGATAAATCTCCAGGTACGAAAGTCTTCTCCGGCTGACCAAGTTAATTTAACTATTGTAATACCGCCGTATACGCCAGGAGTAGAACTGGGATGGTTCGGTCCACTTTTAGATGTTTTGACATGTTTACCATTATTTAAACTGCCCTCACTTTCTTATCAAATGCACAGATGTTTTCCCATATTACCAATCACTTTATTAATATCCAAAATGCACAGTGATGTAGTTTAAATAGAAAAGAAAGTAAATTACAGAAAATTAGTTCAAGCAGGTATGTGCATAAGAAGAAAACATTTTCAAGTTTTTAGTTTGTTTCATTAAATGCTACCTTTTTTATATATTTACTGACGGTAATATTTGCAATCGGGGTGCAAAATCAAGCAAATTTTCCCCATAATATGGTTAAAAAACCATCGGATCCTCCATGATGGTTGTTAATTTGCTTCGGAGGCGTGCTGACACAGCATGTAATAGGACTGGCCAAACCTACACTGCGCAAAGATAGTACAGGTCAACTAGTCAAATAGCAGCGCTATTTTCTATCGTTTTGCTTGCTTTTGTTACCGGCTACAGATGGTAAGCAAGTGAGGCTGCCTCCACAGGGCGCAGTGTCATGTGGGCGCAAAAATTCCCAATCAAAGGTGAATCCATGACTTATGACTCTCTCACTGCGCAAACCAAGACCAGCCAACGTCAACTGCCCTCTTGCTCTTCAGTTATCAGAAAGGCATTAGTGATTAGCTCTTAGAATCTCAAAATCACAACGTTTTTCCCCAGGGGCCGGTCTTGGCTTAGACACCATTCTTCCTACATATTAACGACCTCCTTTCCTCTACGGTCTATGCAATCCACAGCTTTGCTGATGACAGCACTCTAGATGCAGGAATTCAGGGTGTCAAGCCGACCTCTGCTGATGAGCTGTAGAAAAGTAGATTGGCAGCGACTATCTCTCTGACGAGAAACCTTGAGGTTGACACTGCGGGGTACAGTTTAATGCTTCCAAAACGTAGCATTGTATCGAACAAGCAAAAAGCGTCCTAGCGCTCATCCGATTTCGATGGATAGCCAAGTTCTAACAAAGAGCCATTCTTTTCGGTTGGTCGGAGTTCAGATAATCGAGGTCTAGACCTGGCACGAACACATCTCGTCAATAGTGACAGCTGCTGGGTAAAAGCTAGGCAATCTGTTTAGGGCTAAAAAGTACTTTCCTCCACATGACTTCCTATCTCTGTACAAGGCCCAGATAATACCTAGCATCTAGTATTGCTCACATATTTGGAGTGCTGTCGCCCCGACTACATTATACCGGTTCCAAAAATATATAAAAACATGTGTTTCAAAAAGAAAACTTTGAAGCCCTCTAATATACAAACGAAGCACTTGTGCATAAAGAAAAATCATGTCCAATTGACTTATTTTGAGTGAAAAATACGTAATACTGCTATGCTCACCTGATATTGGGACACCCTATATAGTCAAACGCTGGAATCGGGATTTCAAATATGGAAGGACGAAAACCAATTACCAGTAGTATTTGAAGCCAAAGCCGGCGTTCGGCTTCTAACATAACCTTCGGCCCGTCAAGGTTGTCAAAATGTGGGTTGTGTTTGTGCCGTTGCTCTGTTTATTGTTAACTTCTAGCCTCGGTTTTAACCCATTTTGCATCAAATATAGCTGAAATTGGAAAATCTATGATAAATTCGATCATTACTAGTACCTAGCCAGGACCCAATCTGCGTCAAAAATTTTTAAGTCAATTTCTTTAACAAATTCCAATGTTTACTTTTTGCTACGATCCAGGTGCCTTTAGATTTTTTGAACAAAGGACGTACTGTAAAACTTTTCTCTACAGTTGATATTTGTCAAAATGTAACCATTACAATATTAAAAAAATTGCGAAATGTAATTTTCGACCCCGTAGGACTGAATGAAAATGAAGTTGCCAATTCTGCTAAATACCCTTCAAATATCGAGCACTTCTCAATGTTTTATTCAGATAGTCCCAGCGAAACCTAAAAGCACTTCG